GTGGCCCTCTCTCCATTTTCCCTGCTGGAGGATGGCACCTTACTGTCCTTTGGGAGAGGTGTTTGGCTCACATTGCCACCTCTCCCCATCTGACCATATGTGACCCCCTGTCGTGGCTACATCTTATACAGGTGGCCCACTTCTCCATAAAGGTTACAATTCTTTGTCTTTTGGCAGTTCTTGGTCAGGTGTCTCTCCTCCATACAGTTCCTGCACAGGGTCACCTTGCAAACTGCTGCCATGTGCCCTGACCTCCCGCAGGTATGACATACCTTGGGTTGCCTTGCGTACATCAGGTAGCCTCGGCTCCCACCAATTGCAAAGCTGGACGGTGGGTAGAGGATGTTCCCATTCACATCTGCCCTCAGGGTTACCTTGACCTGTCGTTTGCTGGTCCAGATCCCAAAGGGGTCCATCATATCACTGCTGCCACCTTCCACTTTCACATACCTTTCCAGGAAGGTCAGGACACCTGCTGCTGACACATGGGGTTTATATATATGGATGGTAAACATCCGACTCCTCTGCACAGGTAACACAAACAATGGCACTGCATTTCAGACAGAGAGGGGCCCCTCACCTCCTTTCTCCTCAAAAACCTTCAGGAGACACTCACATTGCTTCACACTCCTGAAGGTCACATCGAAATACCCCACCACTGGAGAAATCCTGCAGGCAGTAGATGTCTGCTGCTTTGAACCCACAGGAGTCCACCAGAATCCCCTTCACAAAGAAGGTTCGATCAACCATGTGCCTTCTTCCACCTTCTTCACAGACACTTTGACTGTGATCGGGACCCCCTCACCCGGGGTGCAGGTATTTGCTGAGGTCATAGGTAGGCTTTTCATGAAATGGCGTTAGGCCGAAGCCAACATAAAGATCCACCAATAGAGGGTCAGCTCAACCAGTGGTTCTCCAACGTCCAATCACAATTCAGCGATGATCTCAAGAGCTCTGATGACTCACAACTCAACACTTGATCTTAGCCTGATGTTGTAAATGAAGAAGCTGTACCTAGGTCTCTTTGTACCTAAGATGGTACTGTAAGAGGCAACTTATAAACTTTCACTGTACGCATTTGAGTACATGTGACAATAAAGCTAATTCTATTCAAAAGTTGAGATGTAACATGAAAGCTAGCATAAATCAAGTCATGTGGTACAATCTCCTGTAGTCCAAAGTAGTCCAGTGAAAACAAATCTGCATTTACATCATTCCACTGTCAATACATTGTTGTCCAAGTTATAGCTATCACACACAAATGCTCAAGATACAAATTCCTTCATTTTCTCACGTTGTCCCTTCCTCCAGGCACTGATTCATGCTGCGGCATAACCGCAGGCTGGCATCTTGCTCCAGAGATCATGCTTCATGCTCGGACCTTTGAACTTAAATAATGAATATTGACAGGACACTTAAACATTACCCATTACAGCTAAGCCAATCCTATCTCAAACCAGAGTCACACAAGAAAACTTGCCAACATCTGCCAGCTGGTGATTAGAAGTGGGAACTTTGCCCAGTTTGTTTTTCAGCTTAGACTGGGTACAACAGGCCCAATTTTAACATATCACTGATCGGCCATCAGAGACACTATGGAATGACCTTGAATGAATCATAGAATCCCTATGAATTCCAGTGTGAAAGCAGGCCATTCGGCCCATCAAGTCCACACCAATCCTCCAAAGAACATCCCACCAAGACCCACCACCTTACCCTATCCCCGTAACACTGCATTTCCAATGGCTAATCCCCCTAAACTGCACATCCCTGGTTACTATGGGCAATTTTAGATGGTCAGTCCACCTAACCTGCACATCTTTGGACTGTGAGAGGAAACTGGTGCACCCAGAGGAAACACACACAGACACGGGGAGAACTTGCAAATTCTACACAGAGGGTCACCTGAGGCTGGATTGAACCCAGGTCCCTGGCACTGTGAGACATAAGTGCTAAGCACTGAGTCACCGTGATGCCCCTGTCCACTGAATGGTTCAGTGCCACAGTGATTGTAACATTACCTCTGATCCATTACGTATTAGGGAGTAAGATTGAATAACAAGAGATTTCGTGGGGCAAAAGGTAAAAAGAATGATGGTGGTTGGAAAAATACAAAATATTTACCCAGAGTGGATAAGAGGGTAATGAATAGCTGCGTGCAAAAGCAAAACCATGATAAAGAAGATGGGGGAAATAGAGCTTGTGGTCTGAAATTATTGAAATCTGTGTTGAATTCACAAAGATTGCTAAGTATCTAATTGAAAAATTAGGCACCCTTTGTCACATATACTGTTGAGCCACACTGGAACAATGCAGTAGACTGAGGAGTGAAATACTAAGGTGAGAGTAAGGTGGTGAATTAAATGACAAGCCACCAGAAGTTTGGGACCATGATTGTAAACTAAACGGAGGTGTTCCACGGAATGGCCACCCAAAAAGAAGTACACATAAACCATTGCCTCATCCAAAAGAAGTACTTGGGACCTCAAACAAAGAGAGGAGGTAAAAGGTCTGGTGTTACATCTCCTGTACTTGCATGGGAAGGCACAATGGAAGGAGAAGAAGTGTTGAAAGTGGTTGAGGAGTGGATGAAGGTATCGCAGAGGGAACTGACCCAGTGAGATACACACAGAAGAGGGGGAGAGTGAAATGATGTAATTTATAGTGATATCCTTCTGAAGTTAGAGGTAATGGCAGAGGATGATCTTTTGGATTTGGAGGCAGAGGGATGAAATGTGAGTACAAAGGGAATATAATCACTGTTCTGGGAGGAAAGGGACAGGATGAGAGTCAGCTTGGGCTGACAAGTGGCAAGTGACATTCGCGCCACACAAATGCCAGGCTATGACCATCACCAATAGGAGACAATCCAACCACCGTCCCTTGACATTCAATGGTGTTACCATCACTGAATCCCCCACTATCAACATCCTGGGGGTTATCATTGACCAGAAACTCAACTGGACTCACCACATTAACACAGTGGCTACAAGAGCAGGTCAGAGGCTGGAAATACTGTGGCGAGTAACTCATCTCCTGACTCCTCAAAGCCTGTCTATCATCTACAGGAAACAACTCAGTAGTGTGATTGAATACTCCTCATTTGCCTGAATGAGCAGCCCCAACAACACTCAAGAAGCTTGACACCGTCCAGGACAAAGCAGCCCACTTGATTGGCACTACATCCTCAAGCATTCACTCCCTCCACCACTGACGCTCAGTAGCAGCAGTGTGCACTATCTACAAGATGCACTGCAGAAATTCACCAAAGATCCTTATACAGCACCTTCCAAACCCACGACCACTTCCAGCTAGAAGAACAAGGGCAGCAGATATATGGGAACACCACCACCTCAAAGTTCCCCTCCAAGCCACTCACCATCCTGACTTGGAAATGTATCACCATTCCTTCACTCTCACTGGGTCAAAATCCTGGAATTCCCTCCCTAATGGCATTGTGGGTCAACCTACAGCAGGTGGACTGCAGCGGTTCAAGAAGGCAGCTCACCACCACCTTCTCAAGGCCAACAAGGGATGGGCAAGAAATGCTGGCTAGCCAGCAACGCCCACATCCCACAAAAAATAAATGGGGGAAAAAAATTGTGAGCCAGGCGTCAACACGGTTGATGTCTGTATGAACTACTATGGGAGAGGAAATGTCAGTTGATGAAAAGTAATATATATCAATAGCACCTCTGCAGAAGGTTAAATAAGCAGAATAGGTGCTGTGGAGATAGAGAACTTGAAAAAGAGTCCATAATTGTTATTAGGAAGTTTAGTCAAGCTAGCTCTGGGAGTCAGTGGGCTAATAATGAGTGTTGGCTGATATTTGAGGAAAGAAAGGAAATAGTCAGATATCCACCATGTGAAGCTGAGAGAAGGTTGGAAACTAGAATCACAGCTGAATAAGAGATAACAAGGTGTAGAGCTGGATGAACACAGCAGGCCAAGCAGCATCAGAGGAGCAGG